ATGATGGCTTTACTTTTAGTATGCCATAAACAATAATCTTATTTTTATGGTGATTAGGTCATTTTTCATAGGATTGGAGGTAGTTCCAAGTCACACGAAAGCTCTTGGCTACATGGGAGACTAAGTTAGGGTTTGGCTTTTACCTCAAAACAATTTACCATAGTCCACACAAACTACCAACAAATAAAGCATATGCCTTTGAAAATTTTACAAAAGAAAGAAAACGACACCATTGTTAAATGGGAGCAGAAAATGATGTGATAATTTCCACCGTTACAAAAAATGTTGAAAGTAGATCAATATCTATCTTTTGATTTTAGACCAATAAATAATTAAGTTTTGCATTTACCGATAAGAAAGTTTTATGAGATGAATCTGCTCAGAGAAGTTTGATGGGAAATTTAATAAGTGGTCTAGCCCGCCAAGACGGCATCAACGAGGGTAGGTGACATTGATCCACAAGCTTATTGACACAGTTGGATTTGTCAATGAAGCAAAAGTTGCCTCCATCACCACCAATCGCTAGCAAATTTTTTTTTTTTGGGGGTCAAATTTGTGACATCTAATTAACTAATTAACTCGATAATAAATTAATCACCAAGACCTATAGTGGCAATTAGCAATTTAGTATGATCAACTTATCACCAAATTTTAATTATTGCTTAACATGTGATGGCTTTTGGATATAACGAGGACCACCCCAACATTACAACCCAAAAACTTTGTATAATAAGCCAAATTATTAACTACATGAATAGTATGGCACCGCTGCCTCACTTTGAAAGCAATAATTTGGTTGAACAAAGGAAGGAGAGTGGCAAAGGCGCAAAGCAGCAGCATCTTGTGAAAGTTGAAATAAATAGAAAAAGAAAAGCATCATGATTCATGGAGTAAGTAGTAGTCCATGTCATGCAGAAACAACTTTTTTTGGGGTGCCAAAAAACCGAAATGATCAAACGTATATATATATATATATATTTGAATACACAAGCAAAGCAATAGTTTAATGGGTCAAGAATGTGACAAGAGTTGGACTAGGAAACAGGCATATTACACCATGGTAGTGATCACACGTGTCAAATACACTATCCCACAAGGGACAAAGCAAGCAAGAATTATCACGTGGACCCATAATCTTTTGTCACGACTAAGAAACTAAACATTTTTTTTTTGAAAAAAAAACCCGAAATAAGAAAAGGGCAATTTCCCTACTGCCAAAAACTTGATCAAGGAAGTGATTATGGTGAATGTGTATCATGATCTTTTGTGCAATGCCCAAAACCCAAGATTTGTCGGCTTTGCACCCTCCAACTTTGGCACCATCTCTTTAACCCTATCATCATCTCTCTCTCTCTCTCTCTCTGCATTGCATGCCGAGAAATATTTTTAGAAAAACGCAAGCTTTGAGTAGGAAGCAAAAATGACCGACTGGCTGATCTTTTTGGTTACTTTATTTAGCATGTACTGACAAGCAAGACCAAACACACTCACAAGGCACCCCACTAACGTACGTTTTGAGCAGGTTCTCGGCGTATTTCTAGGGTTCTCTTTTGAGGTTCATGACCTGAACTGAGCCCCCACCCTCTCCTGCTGCTCCAATATGGCCAAATTCAAGAAAGTGGGCTAAAAAATTTCAATTTTAAAATGGATTGGCTAGTAGATAGCTAGGGCAGGCTAGTTTTCCTTTACTGTTGATAACGTTGAGTTTTTCTATATTGCTGCTTTTCTTATTTCTATTCATGAGTAATGGCACTGTTGGTCTTGGAGAACGTGTGGTTCTGATTTGTGTACCGTTCGACATGGACCCTAAAGTTGACCTTACTTGCATGTGACATAAGATGAAAATACTGAAGGATTTTTTAGTGTTTCTCAATCACCATAGTACAAGATGTTCACCGATTTCGCATCTGATCGTGGAGAGGTATTAAGCTTTTCGTATTCTAATATTATTCTTTTAGATGTCAGATTCAAGTGCTAAGATAGACATGATCAATTTAAATTAAATTATATGCGCGCACTTCATATATTCGTTGAACATTAATAAAAAAAAGAAATATTTCTCATATTTTTTTAATTATTAAAATTGAACTCTACTCTCTCGTGATTTTTGCACTTATCTTTTCGCCAAACTTAGAAGAATAAGTAACCTATTCTATTAAGTAAAGTAAGACATGCTTAGTGTGATCGATAATCAACAACAAAATAGTGCATACCACATGCTTTATAAAAATATGGAAAATTGTATTTTCCTTCAACTTTTTTAAAAGATTATGAACGGAAATAAAAAAAAATTAGCATTAATAGTTAATAGAATTGAAAAAAAAAAACGTAATACCACAGATAACACGACAAAGATTATGAATTGTTTTAGCTTTATCTTGTAATGTATTTTTTCTGAAAGTTAAACGGTAAAGAGAAGAATAAACCGAAAATTATTAAAGGTTGGATTAAATTATGATTAATGCATCTCATCTCACCTCACCGAAGCAGGTAGCACAAGAATGGTAGTATTTGCAGCAGGAGCACGCATGTCGACCAACGTACGGCCAAAACAGACAGAGCACCTTTTCTTTATTTTATTATTATTATTATTTTTTATTTATTTTTTTGCATCTTGTATTTTACGTTGCTTCTTTCTTTTTCAATGAATAATGTATATGCAGAGCCCGTGCACACGTGGTGGGTCTGCTCTATTATGAAAGTCTGTTTAATATCTGACGTGTCATGTGCTCTTTGACACTTGGCACATGCTTAAGTTTAAATGCCAACACCTCTCGCACAAGCTAGATCTTATGTCTTGAAGTGAAAATGGCACATGGATCTTTCCAATTATTATTTACATTTCCACGCTCCCCTTTAATCCATTGGAGATCTATGAACAACTTATTACATGGATTTAGTCTGCGTAGCAAAATCAATTATATTAAAAAAGATATATCATTAAGATAGATATTGGTTTTCTTGCTATTGATTACTCAAATAGGTTTAGTTTGTAGGAATTAATTTTGTAATAATTTTTTTACTCAATTTTCATGATGTTCATCTTTTGTAAATTTGGAATTTGATTATTATTATTACTACTACTACTATTTTTTAGTAGTTAAATTTTTGTTATAATTAAACAGTCTAGCTAAAATAATGCTAGTAAAAATTCAATCTCGAAAAAATTCTTAAACAAAATTTCCATGCGAACCTATCATTTATGATGTTTGTTTGTTTGTTTATTTATGAGAGACTGATATGTTATTATTTATGAGATTCATACTTTGAAATTCATTAATTATAAATCAATTTGTATGAAATTTTAATATTAAAAAGTTATTTGTAAATTATTTTCACTTGATTGAATTGATGTTCAAATAAATTCAGTTTTCTAGCAATCTTTTCTTGATTACTTTCATGACTAGCCGTTTTTGTTTGGTTCATTTTCATACGGAATCGGATTTCCGTTGCAAATAGAATTTGGGTTTAGTAAGGTGTTTCATCCCAAAATAATTAGCATACCTTCTTCTACATCAAATAAATCATTAAAAAAAATTAGAAGTTAAGATAGATTCCAATTATGTTACATGATTGTTTTGCAAGCAAATTATACTTCCTGCCTACTTGATAGAAAAAACCCTGTCACTTTATTACCTTAATTGACTAATTATTATTTTCAACATGATTATTATTATGATCATGTATTTCCCCAACATAATTATGTGCTATCCTAATTAAATTGCCGGCTAGCAAAAAAATAAAAAGTTCAGAATTAAAAGAGGAGCCAAATGGTGGGACATGTCGACTTCAATAGAGAAGAAGTACAACTAAAATCACACTTTCCCTCCCATTCTTTTATGGCAGATGATGATGCCGTTCGAAAATTAATGATTGTCTTCTTAGAAAATATAAAGGGAAACAAGTAAAGAAAAGAGAGATGACCACTCAGCCATATAAAGTAAACCCTAATGGAGAAATTAGGCCATATGAAGTAAAAAAAGAAAAAAAAACCATGGACAAATTAACCCTAATGGGGTATTAGATGATTCAAGGAAAAAAAAAAAAATTGAAGAAGAAGAAGAAGAAGATAAGGATGGATTACAGTCCCCACGAGAGCAAAATCAATGATGCTAATTTGACACTAGAGCCATTATGCCTTCTCACGCAACCCCAACTTTGTTTTTAAACCTTGCATGCTGTTAGGGGAAAAGGACAAATCGATGGCTAGGAGACCAGGCCATGGCATTGGACAATGTACTAAACATATGTTTCCTGTTTCTTTATTTACCACAAAAAATGGCTTTGAAATTTAAAGCTTCATACTTTACCCTAAGCTAAGAAAAGCATGAGTTGAGAGAGAACTTAGAAGCATGACATTATCATTATTGCTTTTATGTGGGCATAAAAGCTACCTCACTAATCTTAATTTAGCATCATCACCATCTAGTCTTTTTCAAGCCAATTACTCTCATGGGTCACTTTCTTAAAAGGTCTAATTACAATACCAAGAATCAAATCTACTATCCCTAATTATCCAATACTATCAAAAATCAAGAAAACCTAGCTCTCAAATTATTTGTCTAATTCAATCAAGAAGCTAACTTATTATTTGTCTGATTCAATCAAGGATCAATCAATCACATAACATCATTACACTATCGAGACCAATACAATTAATGATGGATGCCAATATGATACTAATACGATACCAATGCTAATACGAATACGATTGACGATCGATACTAATATGATTAATGATCGATATTAATATGACAGTAATGCTAATACGATACTAATACGATCAATGATAATACTAATACGATTATTTTGGATAGACTTAATTTTTATATATGAAAATCAATCAGATGATACCGATACTATTAACTTATTAAGGTTAGAATTGAAAATTAGATGAAAATAGAAGTGAAGCAATGAAAAAATTTCTATTGACTATTGTTTTTTCCTTTCTCGAGAAGTATCTTCATATTTTTACCAAAGAGTGACTAAAATTTTTGTCATCAAGACATGTTAACATGAACACTAACATCCATGACAGAATCACATACTGGGCAAGTACCAACAAGATTGGACCCACATAATGTACAGAGGCACAGATGCCTGCATGGCAGCAGCAACACGCTTGATTCCCTCTCCCCACACTTTTTACACATCCTTCTGCGGTTAATAATATTATTGCTGTTGTTGTTATCCTTCACCGGACCCTCCTCTCCGGCGCCAGCTAACGTGCACCTCCCATAATCGCTGCTTCCACAACTGGATTCTGCATCATCTGCCACCATGGCACCACCGCTGCTCACTAGGCGGTCCTCGCTAACGTGAGCCAAGACTTGTTCTAAATTGCTACGTAATGAATTTGCTGTAGCCTCATTGGTTTGTGCTAAATCCCTCCAAAATTGATTCTCTACGTATAAACTCTTCACTTTTTCTTGGAGAACCCAGTTTAATTTTCCCATTCTTTGAATCTCTTCATCTTTGTCTTTCAATTTCCTTATCATCCCTTCTTGTATCGCTGAAACCAACATTCTTGATTGCCTCTTTCTCCTCTCTTCAAGTTCCATTCTAACTTTCTGATTCTGAGAAATCAAATCAAACAAACAAAAAATAAGCCCAAAATACACCAAAGTTTTGATTTTTAACAAAACTTAAATAACCCCAGAGCACAGAATTTGTGAAATACAATAACTTACTTGTTCAGCAATGAAACGGTCGATTTCAGATTGCTGCTGTTGGATCTGAAAGATGATATCTTGATCAATAAAAGAAGATAGAGCAGAGGCTTTGGTCTTCTGAGAGGCATGGAAAGCATTAAAGTTGTCATCATTGATTGAATCTCTAGGCCTCTTTCTTGGAGCAACAACAGCAGGAACATTATATGTGAGACCACTGTCATCTTTATTAGAAGCTTTAGCAGAAATCGGGTCGCAACCAAGAGAAGATTGATAGAATGACAAGAGTGCTTCAGGCGTTGGTTCATTGAAAACAAGGCCAGAATCCATCTGGGTATTGTATAAATTCATATTTGCTTGATTTGCTTTCACAAAATCCCTGCAAACCAAAAAAAAAAAAAAAAAAAAAACCCATGTAAGAAAACCAACGATAAATTGATGATTGAGTTGATAACCATATAAAAGACAGAAACTTGGTAGTTTTAGAGTGTGTTTTAGTACCTGTTTGTGAGAAGTTGTGAAGGGAAATTAAGGTTCATATGAGGAGTTTCAACTGCCATGAAGAAGAGTAGTTAAAATTCTTTGCTTGTGAATTTTGTTTGCTTTGGCTTTGGTTGTGGAGAGAAAGGAGCGATATATATGAGAGAGTCTTGAGAGGGAGCAATAAATATATATGCTTGAGTGGATGAGGGCATGCAATACAAGTGATGGCACTATGGGATTTGGTTTATTTAGGTTTGGCCATGAAGAGTGAGGGGAAAAAAAAAAAAAAAAGTCAAAAGACCGACTTCTAGATGGGAAGGGAAAAAAGAAAAAAATTAACAATATTTATTTCGTTCAGTCTTTGTCTGTTTACAAATTAGTAAAAGGATGATAAAAAAAGAAATGGGGAAAATAAAGAAAAGCAATGCAATGGTGGCAGATTTTGTCTTTTCTGTTTTTTTTCTTCCCTTTGTTTAATGCCTTCAATTCATTTCCTAAACAAGATCCCTCCTAAATTTTCTAATTTCCTGAGTGGATTTGGTTTGGTTTTTTTCCTTAATTAAAAATCAGATTTTACGCGTAATAATGAGATTTTAACTGACATAAACGTTAATTGCTATTTTAAAGATTTTTATTAACTCAACATTAACAATAATAGCGGCATATCTGCCTGTCTGCCACGTGTCAAACGCATGCTAGTTATGCCACGTAAGCAAATGCTAAAATCCAGAAAACCCCCCTGGAAAAAAAAAAGAAAAAGGCGAAAAAGAGGTTCATGCCTCATAGGGAACGTGATCATGGTGGGGTCCAAACATCGCACGTGGGACAGGTAGTGGGCCCCAAGTGTTACACGTGTGAGAGGAGCGGTAGTGATATTGCAACAGTGTGCGTTTACGGTTTTTGATGATTCAGGATTTTTCTTTTCTTGTTCTTTTTTTTAATTTTCTTTTTTGGTTTTTTTATTTATAATAATAATAATAATTAAAAAAAGGTAATGGCATGGCCCCACATTTTGTTGCCCACGTTTGTAGACCCTACAAGAAGAAACAAGAGTGGGTCCCATTTCAGTTTCATTTCAGTTTCCCTGTTTTAGCTACCTTGTCTCCTCCTTTAACTGGTGCCTTTTGATTTTGCCTGTACGGACAAATAGGCATGGGTTAATTATTTGGTGTGGGGCCACCACACCTGGGTCGTAAATGGGTTTAGTGACTTTTTATCTATTTATTTAGGATTAGCCATAATCATACATTAATCGTAGGATTAGCTGTTGTAGTTAGGCAAATTTGACCTCTTTTGTGATTTGTGTGTTTTATCTAATTGTCAATGAATGATAGATAGATTAGGGTTTTTATGAGATAAATACATTGAATTTGAATTAAATAGCATGGAATAGAATCACATGCACGGAATATATATATTAGATATACATAATTTTCATTCTTGACCACATAATATTAATATATTTATTGTCAATTATTGATAGCATGACTGGATTAGTTTAAATATATAACTAATAACATGCAAAAGATTTAGCAGGTGAATTTCATGGATGTTGTTTACAAGTATTTATTTTCTTTCCTTGAAGAATGGATCATAATTGACTTTTTTTTTTCAAAAAAAAAATAATAATAAAATCTTTGAAATTCTATGTTGATCATATATCATTAATAGAAATATGGCAAGAGAATTGGGACCTCAAATTGAGGGGTGTTTTGACTTTGGATTGGTATGAGTATGAGGTTTACCAAAACAAAAGGGATTCCTTAATGGTACCACATTCTATATGTGTAGGATTGAGAAGGTCATAATTCTCAAGCCTTTAATTTTCTTTCAGAAATTGTAAACTCTCCCAATATATAGAATTGGTAGCTGTAGAGTGTTATGATGTAATTACTAAATTGAAATTATATTTGAATTGCAATTCAACCTACCTAAAAATCTATAGTCTAAAGCAAATTACTAGGGTTGGAGTTTTTTTTTATGTGTAGTTCGAGTCTTAGTGATTCTAAATTTTTTTGATAATTATGCAATAAAAAGTGCTAATTTCAATATGTAATCCAAAAAATCTATTAGCCTACGATGAATAAAAAAAATTCAGAACATGTCATTTGATAAAATAATTGTATTGTATCGAATAATGCTTGTTTTATTGAAATTTTTTAATCTAAACTATTTTATGACTGTGATAATATTAACCATTGAATTTGTGTAATCCATCACCTAAAATATAATCTATTTTTTTTTTATAAGAAAATGATATGGACAAGAACCTTTCTATAAAACTAGAATACTTTCTTATCATGGTTTTGGGTAGTATACTTCATTGGTAATGAACTAATAGTGCTGATTTATATAGATATTAAATACTCGAACATTGGCTAATTACTTTAACAGCTACACTTACCATCCATACTTACGATATTATTTCTACCTCATAGTCTTTTGAAAATGATAAGAAACCCATTAATTTGAAAATTTAGGAGCAGAAGATATTCCCCTTTTGAGATAGTAATTCTAAATGAAATCCATGTAGTCCTCTTCTTGTTTAAGCTTACATGAAAATGTTGAGGCAAAGCCCCTTTGATTTTGAACCGTTCTTATCTCCTAACGGTGCAACCACTCATAAAGTGTGAATTGCAATATCATCCAAGCTGGTAATTTTGATTCTTAAGTTAAACTAGGCATATTCTTGGCACCAAATGCCAATTTTGGATAACAATTAAAACGTCCTATAATATGTAGTGTCAGCCATGCACTATATTCTCCATATACTCCAACAAGGGTTTAGGTTTTGCATCCAGCTAATGGCTAAATGCATATAAAATGCCCACTGATATTTATTTTCTCCTAGTAGAATCATAATTAAATGCACTATATCACTGATGATCTTCTTGCCTCCAAATGGCAAAAGTTCTTGGTGCTTGCCACGCTCACCTTAGATACCTTAACGTTCAAGTTGGGTGGGCAGACCAAATGGACCAATGTAGGACAAGTACTTTTTAATTTACAGGCAAGAAAAAGTCAATAGAAAGTTAGTTTGTGGATATAGAGTATCAAATTTTCCATGAAAGTGATGTATACGAGTTTAAAACGATTTTAATGACTAGGTATTGTCTTCTCTATTGAGAGAGAGAGAGATTATACAATAAATGATTTAGAAAATGTAGTTGAATTCCAAATGTCTAACTCTCTAAGCATAAATACCGATGTTATCTAAAAAAATGAATTTGATCAAATAAAAATAACATACTTCAAAGGCCAAAAAGAAAAAAGAATTGAAATATGGCGAATATATAAAAAGATGAGTCAAAATTCACAAATTTCAAATATTCTTCATCAACCAAATTAGGTCCCCCAACACCAAAATTGAATCCATCGTGGCCAAATCTTGGAACCACTATCATATGTTATATATTGACCAAGGTGAATTAATGGAGATATTGAACAGTCACCCATCATGTCCCAAACCAATCTAACATCCTCTTAAATTACCCCTCCCTCACGCACAATCAAAGATAAAAGGAGGAAGATGATATAAAGAAAAGAAAAGAAAAAAAAATTAAAAGAAAAGAAGTTGCTATCAAAAAAGAAAGCAAAATCAATGTAGACAGATGGATTTCCATAACCACCGTCCCCTTCTCATCTTTCACTCCTTTTTTCATTCCCTCGATTATTGCTTACTCTTGCAGATCATTGCCCTAATTGTGCACAATCCCTTTAAACCCTATGTTTGCTTAATTACATTACTTTAAACACCTTAAAAGAAAACAAAAGCAATCGAACAAAAATATCCTAATAAAAGAAAAATAACGTTATTCTTATATAATTATTTTACGAAATTCACTTATCAAAAAATATCAATCATTCGATTTTAAAATTTATTAACGAAATTTACTTATTTAATGTATGAGATATTCATTTAATACTTTTTTTATAAGTAAATTTTATAAAAATAATTATATAAAAATATCATTACTAATAGAATAAAACATTCTCTCTATTATATTAATCTTTATCATTGATATAAATTAATGTTTATTGCACTTTCTTGATAGTTAAAATATGTATTCAGTAGTTTTCGTGGGCAATGGGTGATAGTGTGAATAGATATATACTCAAGTAATCTTGACATGGGCTTGAAGTGCATACAGAATAGAGATAATAAAGTGATTAGGAATTTCAGCAAAATTGTCCTCTTTAAAGGCAACTCCAAACTAACATACAAAAGTACATTTTGCTTACATAAAGTTGGAACATCATTATCCCATGAAGATTGTTAACGTGTAAAAGCCACCTATCATTTTCTTTTTTGATTTTTTTTTATAATAAAAAAATTAACTAAACAGTCAGATTTTCCTTGTCCATACGATTTTCAATAATTGCATATTCTGGTTTTTAAGTTAAAGAAGTTTGTAAAACTGTTTAATTAAGTTAACAATAAAAATTATTCAATCGAGAGATAGAACATCCCATTGCTTATAAATATTAATAAAACAAAATAAATAATAACTAGCTTCATGATTTTCTATGAATTATAAATATTTGTGAATACATTATCAAACCGAAGGAAAGAGGCCTAGAAGGAAAGAAAAAAAAAGATTTCTCCCATAAGTTTCGAATGAAATTGATTCCTAGATAAAATTGGAGATATCCTTTGTTAAAAGTAGTGTTCTTAGCATCAAAAGCCACTACCTCTGCCAGCCACTCTCACTTTATTTTACCTTCTTCAATGATCTTTTCAAAGGTTGGCATTATATGCTCAACCACTAGGAAGATCCCATGATGATTCAAAAAGTTCTATAACGTGGGAGCCACTCCAACACAAAAAATAGTAGGAACGCTAATCCATTGGTTTCCCAGCTGCCTCATTTAGGATTTTCCAATCTCCCCACTCTTGTGATTTTTGTAATCCAAAATGTAATCTTGTAAGCATGAGATGAAGCAGAATCCCTTTATTACAAATTTGGAGGGGAAACTTTTTAAAGTGGGTATAGCTACAAGATAGTTAAATGTGTTGGAAGTCATTATTCATAAAGTGTTCATTCTTTTCAACTAAAGCAACAAAAAGAGGACATTG